TGTATGCTGGCCCTATGTAGGGTACCTGCTGTTCACAGTTCCTTGCCCTAAGTCAGACAAACATGCACCCCTTTCCATTATGCTAGTGACATCACAGAAGCTGTTGCTATAGCATTGCTAATCAGTGGAGGTTGGTGTGTGCGTGTGCATGTGTGCGTGTGTGCGTATGGGGGGGGAGATGCTCATGTTTAAACATTGCACTTTAAAAGCTGGAAACAGTAGGCTGAAGAAGAATTCAATTAAGCGGAAATGAGCTGTGTTTTATTGCCGGCTGTCGAAGGCCTCTGGGCACGCTGAAAGCTAAATAAAAAGCACATTGCTAGCGCTTGCCCCTCTTGGATTTGTCGGTCAGTTATTGCAGGAGTTACTGCTGCTGCACTGACACAGCAACTGGCGCAAAAACAGAGCTCAGCAATGCTACATTCAGGCTGCTTGGCAGCACAAAGCACATCAGTGACACTTCTCGCTCATGCTGGTGAATGAGATGGCTTCCCGCAGTAAGGCTCGGACTGTGAATGTTAGCTCTTGGAGCTCATCAGGCATTCCACTGGATTAGCTACGCTGTGCAGACCCGCAAGCACAGGCCCCTGCCCTGCAGCAGAAGGGAGCGCAAGAGCGTGCAGAGCTTCTTCTGCAACACAGAGGCTGCTTGTATTTTGTTTTCTGAATGCAGTTTCCACTGCAGGCCAGGTCACCAAGCTCTCTTGTCCGTGGCTCAGTGATCCGCCAATCCCCTCCTGACCACCCCTTGCAGTGTAAATTTTGTACAGTTCCAAAGTGAAGTCTTGTTTCCTGAGAAAAAGAAAATTAATAATAAGAACTTATTTATTGCCATGTGTCTTTGGAAAACAGAACAGAACCTGGTGCGTTTCTTTGTATTATGCCTTCTGTGCGTTGGCATGAGATGTGTATGGTCAAAACAAAATCTATGTAAAATAAAACACGGAAAGTTCTTTAGCAGCCTGTTTGTCCTGCCTTCTCTTCTTTTGTATTGGAAACAGATGAGAGCCATGAGAACACTTGCCCTTCCACAGTACTTTTCATCCACGGATTGTTAAGACCTCTGATGTTGGTGATTATGAGAGCTGGGACACCAGACTAGATGGACCGCTTACTAATAAAATATAGGATAATACTCATCAATGCCTGCATTCCTAAACCTTACTATCTGAAGTAGCACATGAAACACGAGTATGAGCTGCCCCATATTACAGGTGGGGAAACAAGCCTAGAGAAATGAAGTCCAAGATTTTCAGAAGTGAAGGAAGTTTGGCGCGCAACTCCCACTGCATTCTAGCCAGAAGCGGGCATCCAAACTCATTCTAATTCTTTGCAAAGCTCCACCTCTGGCTCAGATCCTCAAAGATACTTAGGCAGCTGACTCCTCTTGTTCAGGCAGAGATTAGATAGGCAGCTGCCTAAATATGAGTCCAAGCCTTCCCTCACCCAAGATCCCAACATCCCACCCCCTGCTGCACTTATCTAAAAGCACTTTTCCCACAGATGAGGTTTTACTGAACTCTCTCTACGCTGCTTAAGAGCCACCTGGAGTAACAGGTAGAGCCAGCATGGAGGATGCTGCTAGAAGGGCAGGCTTGGAAAAGTAGGAGAAGAGTTTAAAGAAAGAGGGTGCTTGGTGGCTCAGGACTGGGCTGAGATGACAGAAAATGGCAAGGATATGATTGCAGCAAAGTGAAAGCACTGGAAGGCCTCTGCTGTACCCCTCCCCTTTCTGCATCTCTCTTGCTGCGAGGGCCAGCTTAAAGGGTTAAATAAATGGACACTCAATCAAATGTGTTTGTACAATGCCTAGCACAAAGGGCCCTGAGCCCATATTAGGGCCTTCTGTATTCCTACTATAATCCTTAGTATCAGGCTCCAACGCACAGCCTTCCTCCTAACTTCCAGTCTGGGAGAAGCTCACTGGAGTCCAAATACCTATTGCAGAAACTGCTCTGAGAGCTCCCCTTATGCCACAGGAAATCCTCAAAGCTACACATGCCCCTGCTGGCATTGCTGAAGGAGGTGATGTACAGAAAAGGAAGAAGAGAGATAGCAAACATGGGTTTCTGCCAAATGGGAGACCTGTTGGTAGACACAAATAGGTAAACAGAGTCTTTCCTCATCAGGCACGTCTGAAAGCGTTACAAGCTGGGATCTCTCAGCATGAGTGGGAGAACAGGAGTGAAAACAACTGGAGAACAGAGAGAAATGACATTTCACAAGCTACTGTATAGCATCCTTGGACATGACCAGCTCCTCCACCATAACAGCACTTGTGTTTTAGCAGCACCCACTAGGGCTGGGTTTTCGCAACCGCCCTGCTCTAACCTGGCTTTATATTTTTGAATTTGCCTTAACTGTCACTTACCAACACCCTTCTCCTGCACTGAACACCAAGGCCTGCTCAACCTCATCTTAGCCCAGCCTTGTACATCAGGTAAGCAGCGAACTTTCTAGTAAGCAGAGTGGGGGATGCTATGGAAGAGTACGGCTCCTTAGTCCTTGGCTCACTGAGTGACATTGCCCATGCAGGGGAACTGACATGTTGGAGGTCCTAGCACATCCGCATCAGGGCAGAGTTTCCACACGTTAAGCAATCCAGGAGCACTGGGAATGGAGGGGAGTCTTTACTGCTGTGCTGCATGTTGCTTTTTGAATAGCTAGTTGCTTTCCCTTCATCCTGGGCCAGACTGAGCTCTCGGCTACACTGCTGCAATCATATTGACTGCAGTCAAATCAGCATGGATGCAGAACTGGGCTTCTACTACGTGCGATGGGAAAGGAGCTTTGGAAGCCAGAATCCCCTTTGCTTACAGAGCCCCTCAGCACATGGCTGCTTTTGCAAATGCCACAGAAGAAGTGGCCCAGGCATAAATGTGCTTGAAGAAACAGAAAAGATCCATTAAAAATAAGCACCTCTTTCCCTCTCCTGCCCCCGCTCGCTCTTTTAGCACATATGTACAGGCACACAGCTCAGATCCTCAAGGTTGGCTAGTGTGCTAACAAATTGATGCACCCTCTCACCTTCAGCCATAGAGCAGAGCTGAATGCATACTAAACTGGAGATGACATCCTGTAGCATCAAAGAGATGACCCAGGAAACGAATGCCTTGTACATTCCAGATAACTACTCATGGTAGCATTTAAAGCTCACACTTGCTGGAGGATTTAGAGATGGAGATAGTACTTATGGAGTTAGGCCCTTCGTACACTACGGTGTGTTGGCTTTATATATTTTAATCATTTTAACATTTAATGCTTCTCAATTAAAGTGATTTCCTGGAGTGGATGCCAAGCTTAGTTTGAATGCGCATTAACCACTTTCTGTATCGGTAGTTAAAGGCACTGAGGGATTTAAACAGCAATCCACAGGGCTGCTGGGGAAAGGTTTGGCTGAATAAAGCAGATTATAAACAATAATATATGTCTCTCTCATTTTTTTTCTTCTCTTTTTGGAAGGGCTCCAAGCTCACAAACAGACCTAAAGTGCTATAAACATATCCAGGCCTAAGCTGAATGTACTTCATGAAAGCTGTGGGCACTGCTGCCACTTTTCATCTATGCGCGTGTGTATTTTAAGAGAGTATTTTATTACACAAAATGTCCATCAAACTCAACTTCCCTTTGCCATATTAAAACACAAGCAGGGATAACCTTCAACGTGAAGAGAAAAATAAATCCTGGGTGAGGGCAAGGTGGCTGTTGTCTGGGAAGACAATACATGAAGGTGACCTCCCTATTATTTTTTAACCTCTCTCACCCCTTGTTGGCACAAACTGGAAACTGGTTACTGGTACTGAATCCAGTTGAACATCTTCATTTCTGACCACAAGGGATTCAATCAGAAATAAGCAACCGCGTAACAAAAATTACTTTGGTATTGTACATTCCCTCCATACAGCTGGACCCAAAAGCAATCAATAAGCTATCTGCATTATACAACAGGATGCACGTTCAAAATCTTTCTATTTTATGTATATATCCTGCATATATGGAATTAATATCCATGTAAAAAACTGCAGAGTCCAGTGATAAACTGCGGAACCGGGTGCTAAATTTGTCATTTCTGACCATACCAGCTTACTAAGATACACATTTATTAGCAAACTATCAACACCTGATACAGGCAATATTTGCATGGGTGGAGTTATTAACATTCCAGACAGGAAGAGAAAAAATATCACATTCCCCTACAGAGCACAATCAAAGAAAGAGTCTTTGTTAGCCAGCTGAGTGTTCAGATTCCCATAGCTAAGTTAGTGGAAGGGCATTAAGAGTAGTCTTACAGTTCATTTTAGCTGTGACCAACTTCAGACTTAGCTGTACTCCCAGCAAGACATTTTCCTATACACCATCGTATTCTGCAAGGGTGTCATCAGAATGCAGTTCAGGAGAAAAAGGGGACATGGCCTGTCTGTTATAACACCTACCTTGTATGGTGGGAAGCAGCTTATCAATTTTAAACAGCAGCCGTCTTAGTCCTTGCTTCTGTAGATCCAGAGATAGGGGGTGTGGGGTGCTTTCAGTGGCATTCCTTTAACATACCACTGAATAGGATGGAGCATCAGTAGTTACCTGCCAACACTCAGCTGCACATTGCACACATCACCTGAACACATTGGCCTCCAGTGCTTTTCTGACGTTAGGTGATAAAGCCAGGCAGAAAGTTCAACTCTTCCTTTTACAAGCACAGGATTCATGACCTTCTACATGCAAAGAGTTCAGTTAATCAGAAAATAATTGTGTGCAACTCCTCCTGCTGTTCTTCTGTGCGACATGCACCATTCACATCTTCCAGGGTTTCATAAAAGATACAGAGTCTGAAGCAACAAGCTAACATTCTTATTCTGTACAGTAACCACCAGTTACATTTGTGAGGCCACAAGACTATGCAAGCCATTGCTGCATCTGGGCTATAGTAGATACTGATGTTCCTGATCTGATAGCATGCATGCACATTGCCATGTTACTAAAGCCATCCTGGGCTGTTGTTTTGAAAGCTCGTATTTGTATCCACAAGTAGGCAGAGCACAGAGCTGCACAAGCAATTTCTTCATTTTGTCTTCCAAAATAGGTATATAAATTCTCTAATAAATATATGTTTGTATCAACAAGTGCATCTGTTTCAGTATTTTAAATGGGTCAATTGGGTATTAACTAACACAGAGACAAAAAGGAATCTTTTTTGGTCAACCACACTTTAAAAATGTACAAGAACATGCTATTTATAAATGAAATTTTTTAAAGTGTTAAATTAGGGCAGCTACAAATCTGGCAAAAGACAATGGAAAGATTCCCCTTTCTTTCAGTAGATGTTGGGTCACCACCTCAGATCCGATGTCAGCTGAATAATGAAGTCAGTTTAGTTAGAAAACAGGTAAACCGTTGGAAACAACTGGGCACAAACTTCAGTCATAATGTTCCATCCATGTGTCTGTACAGGTCACACCGTAAGCATGAGTAGGGACTATATTCACTGTGTGTTCTGTTCTTCCAGGGGTCAAAAAAACCCAGAGAAAAAAGGTGGAGCAGAGTCCACACAGGTAGCGTGCGCTGCTCAAAAGTAGAGCCAGGTCACCCAGAGCCACACTGTGGCTGCCAGCCAGGTTCCACGTCGCAGGATCACTGCTGCTGCAGTCCCAGGTGCCCCCCCAAGAAAGGCTGCCCCCGGGAGTATCTTGCCGCGCACCAGAGCATGGTGCATTTCCTGGGGACAAGTAGTAGCAGCAGCGCAAGGTGAGCCGCTGCTAGTTGTCCCTGGGGAACCAAACATCTGCACCATGTGTGGATGCGACCATTGTTACTATGTTCAGTGAGTCAAAATAACATCTTCTGTAGTCAGGCCTTAACAGAAAGGGCTAGACTCAATGTCAAATGGATTTATACTTCAGTTACATTTGCACAATTCCATCCTTCTAAAATCCCCTGCATCAAATGACTATTAAGAGCACAGCAATCTCTGACACTAACAAACACGGTTTGGCTTTGCTGTACAGATAAGTCTGAACTGTGTGGGTTTTAATCCTGTCCTGACCAGTGCTAGGTCCCTGTATTTTGAAAGAGCCTTAACACTGGTTGAGGACATGGTTAACACAGAGTAGCACTCTCCAACCCGGCTAAAAAGAAACTGCAGTTATATGCACATCTGATGTACCTCTACAATCCTGTCCACTGGACTATTAACTAACCAAACGGTAATCACTCCTAACAGCAGTCTAGATGTTCACAGCTCCCTCCAGGGTCATTTAGTCCCTAAGAGGTTCTTGGTGGCTGTCACAAATCACTATCAGTGGCATCTGACCTCAGAGAGTTATCCTTAAAGACTTCCCCATGATAAGGAGCTGGAAAAACAAAAAACAAAACAAAAACAACTGAGACTGAAGAAAAGATTCATATTCCTATGTTTAACTATAAGAACATATAAGAAACAGTCATACAAATGGCAAAATAATTCCCTAAGATTTCACACTAGGCATGGAGAGTGAGAGTTCAATGTAGACAGACATCTGTCCTCCTTTCATATAATTTTTCAGGCCCTACGATACTTTATATTTGTGATACAGCGGGACCCAAGCAAAAGAAAATGCTTATTTCCCTGAGCTGATCAGAAGAATGCTCAGGCTTTATTTGCAGGGTAAGGGTTTGTGAAAGGCCTCCATTCCGCCAGCTTTGCAGGAGTCTGGTCATCCCCCCGCAAAAAAGTCAGACCATTTTCATATTCTGCTCTTGCTTTTATTTATGGCATTTGGTCAGGCCCAGGGAAAATCAGCTTGGCTTCCTGACAGGACTAAACAAACCTTACCATACCTGATCTCCCCATGGGTCCCATTTGGTCACACCTGAATCTTCAGAGCTGATCTGTTCAACAGTCACTAATCATATACATTTTCCAAATGAGCAGCCATGTTTAATACAATAAAATGTTGTTTAGAGTCCCCTCCCCACAAGAACAGTGATAAATTCCAGAGCATGCAAACCTGAATCCTTTTATGCAGAATACATATCCAATACCATCGCCAGTCCAAAGACGTAAGCCAGACTTGCCAGACCCCAACCACCTGACTATTATGTGCCTTTCTCAAAAAAAACCAATGCATATGGAAGAGGATCGTGAAGGACAGGGTGGGGGGTATTGCAGAGTTCGTCCATTCTCAAAGCACTAAGCTGATGTTGTCCGCAGTCACCCAGCCTTTTGGCTAGGTTTTGCCAGTTGTGTGCTGCTGCAGCATGGATGTGATCGCTTTACAGTCTGTCACTTCCTCCGGCAGGCAGCCGTCTTGGTCCTGGAGAGTGGGGTCTGCCCCAGACATCAGCAGCAGCTCCACAATGTCAACGAACTCGCAGGCAGAGGCTGGAGGAGAAGGCAGAGTCAGTATGGGGTTACCAACAAATGGGAATTCTAATTCAGCAGGGGCTGGCATTTACAAACTGGAAGATAAAACAGTGGTCACCTCAAGGGAGATTTCACAATGCTCCACAATGGTGCTAGGCATCCTATCCTTACATTTGATGGACATTTACTGGTGCTAGGATCTGTCACTTCAGCTTCTGGCAGCGCAGAACAAATCCTTGTTTGGGATGGTATTCAGCACTAATTTATTACTTGGATTTGGAGTGAATACTGCTAAGTAAAGGGAAAATACAGCCTTGAAGATTCCTGTTGTGCTGAACCCTTGACCTGTACTTTGGAACAGCACAGCTAACTGGCTGAGGCCAGCAGCAGTGGGATCTAGCAGCAAACATGAGCCCTCTGGTGTAGACACCAATGTAGAAGTACTGCATTAAGGGGTCCAGGGAAGGCAGGTAGATTTGGTCAGCTGGAAGGAGGAGGAATGAAAGGAAATATGGTTTTGAAAGTCATAACCTATTTGGTCTTATTTGCATTACTG